TGCAAAGCTGCTTTAAAAATTTCTTTGTATAAATAAATGTGACACTACATGGTTCTTTTCCATGCAAAACCTGGTGACTAGTCTTTCAATCATAAAGTGCTGTAAAAGCAGTCGATACAGATCAAGTATTGATTCGCACTTTATTTTGATGGTCCGATTGTTGATTCTAAATTACGTTGCATCTACATGCCAACTAAATCTCATTAGATCATAAGAAGACTGTTAGGTTGGGGTTGGGGTTGGGATTGGGATTGGGGTTAGGGTTAGAATAAGATGACATGTACTTGCAAAGATTTTTATAGTCAGTTAAATTTCTGTTAGCAGATATAAAGCACAGTTTACTACTCAAATGGACCATCAAAATAAAGCATTACCAAGTAGGCTATTGTATTCTAGGCATTCTAGAATCTAAGATTCTAGGAATCTTTCTTCAGCAATACTGAAATGGAAATAACATCAAAACCTTTATGAATCTGTGCACATTCAACTTTAGCCAAAGTGAAGGTTGTTCGTTCAAGAACAAAAACTTTAGTCTGCTTCTCATGATTTCAAGACATTTGGGAACAGAGTACAAGTCATCTGGACTATAGTTTTTTTTTTTTTTTTTTTTTGGTTGTTTTATAGTCTTTATTGGTAGTTGAATGGCAGAGCGTGATTTGTAGCCTTTGTGTTCTATGGATAAAAAAAAGTCAGACAGGCTTGGAACTAAAAGAGGTTAATGTAAGTAAATGAAAAGAAATTTCAATCCTGGGTGAACAACTCCTTTATTTCTGCAGCTAAATTAAAATAATCTGTTTTTATGGTTATCATTATCTCAAGGGAAGAGGGGGAGGAGTCATGTTCGGAGTGAGCATGTGTTTCCAGTACCGTTTCCCTCTCTCTTTTCTCTCTTTTTCTCTCACGACTCAGTTGTCCGTTTCTCGCTCACGCACAGTCGCCTGTGGAGGCGAGGCAAAGCCAGAGATGAGCGGAGTCAATTAGACGAGCAGCAATGTATGTGTGTCTCTGTGTGTGCGCGCATGTGTGTGTGTGAATCTCAGAGAAAGATGTGGAACAGTATGGCACTGCAGATGCCAGCATTCCCTCAGTGAAAAAGCTTCCATAGGGACAAGGACAGCTGTGGAACAGCATCAGGGGTGTTAACGAGCCTTATCACACACACACACACACACACACACACACACACACACACACACACACACACACACACACACACACACACACACACACACACACACACACACACAAAGCATAGTAAATGATGCACTTTTAAATTAATGTATACACATTCTGTTCCAAAACCTACTAAACTATCTATATCGTGAATGTGCTTCCAATATGGGGCTTTCCAAAAGGTAGCCTAATTTTAGACAAATTCAAAGAGAGCCTTGCATGTGTCCTTCATATAGATGTGTGCAATGCATTAGAAGTAGAAATTTGATCAGTAATAATAATACATTAATATTTTATTCAGTGCTCAACTCTCCCAATTACAGAACAGTGTTGTACAGTATATAGCATCAGCTTAGCATTGTGCCACTTTTCTATCAAGTCTCTGATTATGTAAAGCTTTTCAAATGTATGTCACATTAAAAGGGAGCTGCCTATATTAGCAATAAACAGTTGCTCTCTAAATTTTGAATTCTGAATATGAACAGTATTTGCTTTTAAAAACCATATCAAATTCCCATGACACACATAGAAACACACATAATGAGTATTATTCCCACTGACCTCCTTGGCATCCCAAAGGAAAATGTTGTTGCTCTGGGGTCGCTCTTTCATAGTTCAAGAGACTTAATTGAATTCTCAGTTGTTTTATTTATTATCCACTTTGCCTAAAATGGTTCTCATAAAATAATCTCTCATAAAAAGAAGAAGAAAAGGAAGAAATAAAAAAGGCTGACACACAATAAAAATACTTCTAAAAAAAATAATAATAATTCCACAAAAAAAAAAAACTGTGAGATCTACAGAAACCTTTGAGCCACAGAATTTTTTTTTTTTGTGTGTGAAAAATATAACTTTAAATATAATAAGCAATACAATAGGGTATTGAAATCTATTCCTAAAGCATTTATAATGATGGTTAGTAATGTTGTCACCAATAAAAATGAAAGACTTCTGCCTTATTTGTTGACAAATGGACAGGATTTTATTCAGAGTGAAATACCTAATAAAAAATCAATATTAACCCAAGATAAATTTCCAATACAAGCTGGCAGAAATAATGTGTATTTTCTTTATTTCCAAGAGCTCTATTATTGAATTAAGAACAATGTTTCTTTTCTTCCCCATACCCCCCAAAGCTAAAGAAGTACACTTTAAAATGTTCATTGATATTTACCCATCTTCAGAGTTTTTTAGACATAAATTTCATTTTGATCACAACAATTGTACATTCTGTAAGGTTGACATTGAAATGACTGTCCACTTATTTTTTGACTGTTAAAATAGTAGAACCTTTTTAGTTTTCCAAAAGGAATTTAGGTTATACTGTAAATATTTAAAGTTTCTAAAATGTTCAAAATGTCGAAGAAGACTGTTTATTATTTGTGCTCTGTTTTGTAAATGTAGATGAAAGTTGTTAATCGAATGCTTCAGACTTAGAAAAGCTTGGTTCTTTCGAGATTTCCCATTGTAAGGTTCTTTGGGGAAAAAAATGAACATTACATTGAAAGTTCATTTGCAAAAAAAAGAAAAAAAAACATTTTTTGGAATATTTTATTTATTTATTTATTTATTTATTTATTTATTTATTTATTTATTTATTTATTTATTTATTTATTTATTATTTTTATTTTATTCAATTTTTTTATTTTATTTTTTTTGCCAATTGAAGTTTTTGGAGGTTTCTTTCTAACAATTTGGATAGAACTTCATTAACCGCTCCAATTATCAGTCAGTTATTTATCCAAGCTCTGCTTTCATTTAGTTACTTATTTATTTTTTCTCTCATTCAATGTTATATTTAACTTGAGAATATGTCACAATACCAAGCAAAACTATAGTCATTAAAAAAAAAAAAATCTAAAAGAGACACGAAAAGCATTATAGATCCCATTTGTGATTTTTTTCACAAGTATCTTCACACAGAAGAAAAGGCTTTCAGGTGTTTCAATTTCTCTTTTGTTTTATTTTACAGGCCACAAGATGAGCAGATACATCATTTAATAAAAAAAAAGAAATAAAACTGATATTTGCTTGTCAAAAAATATTATACAATTTTCTCAATACAGATTTTTGTACAGCATGAAACAGAAATGAACTGTAATAAAATCAGGATAATATAGATGAATGGGATACAGGAGTTCCATACCGTCATCCAGCCCATCTCTATACCCAATAAATATAAACTGTGTATATTATATTATTGATAGCCAGGCATAATAAATACCAGGGCACAATTTCAATTCATTTTCATATCATTTCAGGTACATCACTGTGCTACACACACACACACACGCACGCATACACGCTCACGCACACATGAAGCTGAGCGCTGAAGCAGGCGTGGGCCAGCAATCAAAATCACAGTTGGATAACAACAGATTCCTGGCCACCTCAAAAAGAACATAAAGATGGGAATGAAAGCGGATGAAGACAGGGCTCATTGTCCTTGGCAGGAAAGAGAGACAGTGAGAAAGAAGGATGGCTATCTGATCGGGCCGTGTGAGAAACACTGTAGAGAGCCACTTGACATTTGGCCTGATTCAAACAGCTCTGCTGAGGGAAGCTACTCTGACAGACTCTCTCTCTCATGCACACAAACACACACACCATCTCTATCTGTGAGGGCTTCTTCTTTTTTTCTTCTTCTTTCAAGCAACCTAGTGCCGTCCTTTTCAACTCACTCTCTGTCAGCTTCCTTTATCTTTTTAACCGCCCTCTCTATTTCGCTCACCATGTACGTTTTTTCTCATCAAAATTTAAGCAGAACAAAAAGCTGCATCCAAGTCATATATCTGTGGATGGCTTCAGTCTTCGAGAAAGCACTTGGCAGGATATTTTAAAGGGGGAAAATGGAGGTGGAGTGGGGGGTTCTTTATGAAATATCAGTAATCGCAGACAAAAGCAAATAAACATACACGGGGTGGATGAAATAACCTAAAACACCAAACACTGTATAATTATTAAGGACTTGGCTAGAGGCTTACTCACCACAGTTTCAGTTCTTGCTGGAGAGAAAAAGACTCAATTCTTAATAATGTCGAATGCACTCCTGGAGCATCAGAACATGAAAATTCAAATATTTGGTCTTGGAATGGCTTTACCTTGGCAGCCATGACATCACTCTTAAATTTGATTAATAGTGTGCATGGAGCCATTATAATTGTGTAATTATAAATCACTGCAAGTGTTTTTTTTTTTTTTTTTACCATCTGATGTTTGGTCTTCTGACTTGATCAGAAAGGTGCTGCATCATAATTTTTTGCCAATTAATACATTTGCCAAAGTAGTTTTTGTTTCTTCCCAAATATATTTGGATTGTGTCTTGACAGCAAATAATTTAGCAATTGTTGGAATGGATAGGCCAGCAATTTACATACAGGCAATTCTGGTTTGATAGCCTCCCATTGCTTTGAAAAAAAATCTCATATCAAAGACCTAACTGTCAGAGCTCTTTTATATCTGATATGTTTTTTAATTGCCAGTCAAATTAACGGGCTTACCTTTTAGCTACATTCATAATGGTGATTTAATTATGTCAATTATGATAGTCATGTAGTGTGCCCATTACTTTATCTACTACTATCCAGTATCGATAGCGGAAGAGAGAACTGGGATATTAATTGTAGACTTAAATGTGCCCCTTACATTTCCTTACCAAACCTCACCACCCATGTCAAAATTACAGATTTCTCCGTCAGAAATCTATGGTGTTGTGTTACATTCAGAATGAGAAAATACACAGTTGCATTTAATTACTTGATTCTGGGAGACCACAGGATAATGGTAGCATGATAGGGCAAGTCTGCAAAGGGAATGTAGCACCGATTTTTTTTTTTTTTTTTGCTCGCTGACTAAATCAGCATTGGCTTTGGAAGATGGTGGAATTGTAACTATTTATATATATATATATATATATATATATATATATATATATATATATATATATATATATATATATATATATTAGTTTTAAGTTTTTGAGACCTCAGTCTATATATAAGAAAGCATCCCTTTGAGCTACAGTGGCGCTACCATCAGTTGGTTAGTTGAGTTACTTGTTACAGGGACGATTCCAGAGTCCAGTTCTGTATTAAATTACCAGTTAATGAAGGTTGACAAAGCTTCAAATTTGATCAATTATCATTGATTAGGTTGGGTAGAGACATGGGTAGGGCTGAAAGACAGTAAAGGATACTAATGTTGCTCAAATAAAGCCAAGGCATTGGCTTAAGACGAGGGGTGCCACAGAGTAGCTAGGCTGAGGTGAACAAGGAAAGAGCCCTGCACAGGATATGCGGTAGTGTTGGATCGTTCCTTATTTCATTACAGGAAAAGCTTTATAAATTCACAGAATGGAGAGGAAGGGGGCATAGTGATAATATTTGCATTTCTCCTTTTCCCCCTCTATCTCTTCATCTCTGCCCTCCCTACCTCCTTCTAACACCCCTCCTCCTGCCCCCCCATTTACTGCAGAGTGACTTTAATCATCACTTTCGCCAAAACACATTAAGCCGTTGTGTGTCCGGGGGAAAAAAAAAAACAGCCCTGTGCTCTCTGAGCATCACATTCTATTTGCAACAGTGATGCATAGCTGGTGCATTACTTTGGAGATTAAAAAGGATATGCTGAATATCAATAGAGTGTGTCTGATGGATGACTGTCCTGGCCCACAATAAAGGGACATCCAATAGACCTCCTTGGGAGGAGGTGCGTACATTTACCAAAGAAAAGCAGCTCCACACTCAGACACTCACACACCCGCACACACTGACGAATACACAAATGACAGCACAGACACTCAGACAGCTATAGCAACTGCTCAATCCTGTACTCATGTTTAGTAAAACAACACCAATGCTTAATTATTTACTTTTTTTGTTCAGCAAGGATAACAAAGTCGTTTGCATACATTAAACCCAGGCCAGCGGACAATGTGATTCCTCCCAGGTCGCGGGGTGGTCGTTACAGCATCAGAATGGATGGCCATGTAAAGTGCTTCAGAGCTTTTGCCCAGAAAGAGATGGAGGTGATGAATTGAGCACAAACTGAAGGACATGAACCACAGAAAAGACTGTTAGGGCACTATGACATTATTCCACAGCAGGGACAATGGAGTAGATGGGGTGGGGTGGGGTTGGATTTTTCAGGGAATAATTATGAGTCCAGAATCTGACATCAGTGAAAGGGAATATTGGTCAGTTTGTTCCTTATAATTCCCAACTTGACCTGCTGCCCTTCAGAAGGCTGTATGGTTGAATGTTTGCCTATATGTAGGTCCTCAATGTCCCCTCGGTTTACCCAGGCACCCAACTCTGGCTATTGTGTGATTGTTGAGGTCCTGCAAAAACTCCCATTCCCATCCCCAAACCCATTCCCATGCCCACACCCTGTGATAATGACCCGTCAAAGTTAAAGTCCATTCCCTCTGTTGAGTCCATAAAGTCATTCAGGAGGATGGATTCCACATCACAATCCAAACTGCTCTGGTGCACATCCATTTCCAGCTCAGATTGCAACCGATTTTGAGGATCATGGTGATGGCTAGCTTGGTGGTTTCCATGGTAATTAGCATTCTGTGATGTGTGGTGGTAATACCCCTGCCAGGGTTCTGTCATGCCCTGGTGGAGGTGGGAACCTGGGTAGGATTGATGGCGAGGATGGGGAGCTGAAGCCAGGCGACATGGGTCTTGGGGTACATCCAAGACACTGGCAGGGTTAGGAGGCAGAGCAGTAGAAGGAAGATGAGCACGTGGGCCATAAAGGCTGGGTGATTTGTGGTTGTAGGGTTGCAACATGTCATTGCTCACCCTAGGAGAAAGATCTGGTTGTCTGGAATTGTTATGCTGAAGGTGATTGTGCATGTGATTGGGACTAGCATTGAGTTTGTGGTCATGAGATTGAACATAGTCATGGCCACGGTGTTGTTTATGGTGATTGTAATCAAGACTTGGGTGATGCTTATTATGAGCTTGATTGGGATTGTGATGATGGCTTGGGTTTTGCTCATGAGTTACTCCATGACCATTGTGAAGGCTTTGACTGGAATTGCGATTGTGGCCATGCTCTGGGTTATGATTGTGATTCTGGCTGTGATTGTGGCTCTGATTGTGGCCGTGAGAATGCACAGCAGTATTAGATTGTGACATAAGTGAATGAGATGTTCCTCCTTGCCCCACAACCATGTCCTTACCACAGTATTGTGGCCCTCCAGCAAGCAAACTTTCAAGGGCATTGTTCTCTGAGTATGCCCTAAGGGCACGCTGGAAGCTAGTAGGCTTATTTTCCTGAATAGTCTGCATAGGCGTATGATGCCTAAGCATGCCCATGGATGGTTGGCCATAGACTGTACCACAGTAGGAGGTCTCTGCTTTAGGTGCAGGGCCATAGTGATATCCATTGCGCTTAAGTGGTAGAGGCTGGGAGTAGCCCTCTTCCAAGCTGATTGCTCCAGTTAGATCAGCTAGATGCGGAAGCTCAACAGATGGACAATGTCCACCTGTTCCCAGTGCTGGAGATCTTGTGCTGGTGGGGCTAGGGTAGAGTCGTGGGGAGGCTGAACAAGAAAGTCCTCCTTCCTCTGGTTCATCAGGTTCTGTCTCAGCCAGAATAGGAGACAAGCATCCACTTAACGTTGATGCAGAGGAACTTGTTCTGGAGTGAAGGTCTGTCCAGGCATCAAACTCTTCACTTCCAATGCCCATTACTCCCTTCCCTGCTGGGCTTCCATGTTCAGGCGATCCCTGTATTCCAGGTGCTCCAAGCTCTCTACCCATTCCCACAGCCGCTGTTCTCTTCCTGCTGACTCTGCCTCTGCTCTTCAGGTACTTAGTGCCATTGTCCATGGATACAGCTCGTCTGCGGGGTCCTTTGCCCATTTTCCCACCTTCCGGGTTAAGCATCCACCAGGAACTTTTTCCTGTTCCCTCATTTTGAACACGGATGAATCTGGTATGCAGGGAGAGGTTGTGTCTAATGGAGTTCTGTAGACAGAAGAAAAAAAAAGTAGGAATAAGGTGTTAGTCTTTTTAAACATGCCATCAAAGTACCAAATTCATATTTAATTTGTTTACAGTTTTTATTCACTTTACATCTATACATTTACCATAATACATACATTGAAGAACCATAATAAGCATGGATGATAAACAAAATCATAAACAATGGGTGCATTTATTAATAAATAAATATTAATTGGACAAATTAAACAGTTAATCATAGGCATTCCCTGCTGTGGTATATATATAATAAAAATATATGAAATACAAGGAATATTTAAAAAAGGTTTTACATTGAGCAAGTGCTATTCAAATCAACAGATAATAAAAATAAGACCATTCAGGGTGCAAGTTCCTATAAAACTCTAAAAACAGTTCATGGCACTCATTGCAGGGAAAGGTGAAGCCCCTCTTGGCTGCTCAGGCAAATCAATACTGTAAGCAGACCAGCTCCTGCACGGCACACGCTTTCTCTGACTCACGCTGCAGCTAGCCAAGCCAAGTCCACACGCACATCAAACCGTAGTCAAGGTTACCCAAATGAATCACACGTGGCAACCTGATCACAGACGCCTCTATCGATTGCAGTCTTGGGGAAATATGAGGGAAAGCCAGAGAGTGAGATGAGAAAGCGAGAGCGAGGCGTGATTTTGGCAAGCTAGCGATCCTGGAGGAGCACCAGACAAAGGAAACAAAAACCAGAGAGAGAGAGAGAGAAAGAGAGAGAGAGGCTTCAGTGGTACAGATGCAGCAAAGAAATGCTTTTCTTTCTTTGGCGTATAACAGAGTGAAGAATGTTAATGACTGTTATAGTCTCCGATGTGAATTGGTCGATATGTTGATCCAGCGGTGCAGTATAGCAACTATGATGTAAAACACCTGTTTACATACAGTAAGCGATGTGCACATTATTGCATAGAGCATGCAGAGGCCCGCTATCAACTGTAAATATTTCACATTTTTCTATGCCGTCAGGATTTAATAAATACAATTTAAATGATTACTATGTGCTTTAATAAACCAATAAGCCACTCAAGGCTGTGATATATTGTGAATCATGTTATTCATACTTGTTTATAAAAGTCACAACATAAAACATTCCGTTGTGCATCACACCTAACAATACACTTCATCTATTCACATGTATAGCAAGGTCTCCAATACCTTGTATTTTATATTTTCCACTCCCAGTAGCATGTTTTATTTGTCAACTACCCTCACATATAAAAAGTAGAAATGTATTAATTCAATAAGAAATGTATTGACTACTTTTATTTAAACCTTAAGCAATCAAACATTTTTTTTAGTGATTATTTTATAAGTGTTTGAATGGATTTTGAAATATGCAAGCTTTTTTATTAGCTGTGTATGATGTGCATGGCTTCCAGGACATTATAATGAAAGACTGCTACAGAATGAGGCCAACTACTGTAATTTCAAATTGTACGGCATCTGTACTCAGAAAAGACTAGGACAGTAATTTTGTACCCATTCTTAAAAAAAAAGTAACAAGATCAAATGTCTCAATCTGCTTCTGCTTGTGTCATGCTTAAAATGTATGGGACTCAAGACAAAATGTTATGCTCGTTCCCCTTTCGCCCAGGTGGACTAAATAGGACAATGTTCCTAGCTGCCGCTTGCTTACGAAAGCCATAGTGTATATCCTTCAGAAAACTAAAGTCACCTCTGTTTCCCTCTCCATTTTCTTTTCTCCAGTAGGAAAATCAGAATCTGTCCATCAAAAGCTCAAAACTACCAACAATCCATATAATGTGTTGACATGTGTACACAGCAACAGTAATGTAGTGTGGGCTCCACTCCTTACAAACACACACCGTCTCACACGCAGCGCTGCATAGCCTCTTCACACCCTCCTTCACTCAGATTCCCTCATTCTCACACTCATTCATCTCTTTCTCCGTGTCCCGCATCTGTTTATCACTCTCTTTTCGCTCATTCTAATCCTGCCACAAATCACACCACTAATTTCATTCACCTGCTCCGACTGAAGAAAAAAAATGCAAATAAGACAAAACAAATCTACTTCCTGTCCCTCAATCATCCACAATACAATTACACTTCGAGTGCGTCTATCAGCCCATCTATACTCCATAATCCCCCATCGCACCCCCTTACGGAAAGCAGCCTCTTGTTTTCCGTAGCGATTCTGAGAACCATTACCACTCACACGAGTGTTCGGATATCAGTCACTGAAAAGAGAGCCAATTACCTTGGCAAAATTTACACTACAGCTGGATATCGACTGTAAAGCAGGCTAATCTTGGAGAACGTGCTGCTTCAGTGTCACCTCACACCTGAGGGGCTAATTCTTCCCCCAACACCAGTGGCAGATTTGCTGCTTTTTGCACCGCTCCCATTCAGCGCGGTGAGAAATTGGATAAGCAAGATGTATTTATGTTCCCTCACCCCCCAGGAAGGGGCTTTATTCTCCACCGGTTATTCTGCCAAATTACACGAGCCCCCGTGCTGGTGAAAGAGCCAGATGCTTCCTGGGCCGTCTTAATCAAAGCCAAATTGAAGCGCGGTGTCATGAGTGGGAACCGCATGCCGAAACGACCTGCGCGAGGTGATCTGAGCGCGACACCCTGACAGCTCCGGCAACCGCGCTCTGTTGCAGGGGTAACCATGACTACAGTGGAAACGGGAAGAGAGGAGCTACGTGCGAGAAGCGGGGGAAAGAGAGAGGCAGATGCCGTTTGATGCTGCAGGTAAACTGCAAACAGCCTTTCATCTCTCTGACAGTCAGACGACTCACCCAACTCGCAAGAGAGCTTCAATCATCAGCAGTCACACCGCTGCTTGAGCTGTCTCAGTGGAACAGTGATTAGCAAGTCAACTATAGGCTGCATGACTTCACAGTAGCTACCAGCACCCCGCCACTCTGCAGATCAGCTCACCAAACAGCCGTCTACACATGAGCTTGTTGTAGAAAGCTTGCATTTTTAAAACATGACAACTCTCAGACTTGAAAGGCCACGCACTGTCGTTTAGTCTGTGAAAAGATCCACTCTTTGCCCTTAGTGGCTCCATTAAGATGAGGGAAGAGTACTGGGTGTTTGATGGAAGCAGATTATTCATGAAGTCACCAATGCTATGGTGGTGCGGGCTGTGGTGAGCTATATAAATAGCAGGCCTGTGGTTTCGGAATTTGACCTAGACACCTTCAAGCTCGTCTGCCTCTGAGTCATTTGCTGGCCAACCATGTAGCTGTCCGTCTGTGACCTGCTTTGACTTTCTCTGATGCGCGCTACATGCTTTCTGCAACTATTCCGAATAATGCCACATCTGCAACTACTAACTTAGCTGACATTTTCTCACTAAAGCTTACAAAAAGTCCAGTTTGTGTGCTGGAGCAAAGACAATATGTGACACATAGCAGTTTAAGCTGGACAGCTGTGCCATAACAATTATCTATTATTGTAGATGCTTCACCTGTCTCCTGCAAGGAAATGTAATGTAGAACTATCAGTGGCATTTAGACCTTAAAATTTAAATCCATGGACAACAGTGACTAGTAGTGAAAATGATGCTGGCAAGTCATTCTGTCAAAGAACGTGCCGGTGTGAAAAACCCTGCAGGTCACAAGACATCAACATGATGTGATATTGATGTTGTTTAGCAACATACCTAATCATTTAATTTTGTTTGGAAATTAAAATCGGGTTGACGTCAGAACCCAGTGTTAGGCCGACGTTAATGTTTAACCTAACATCAATCAAATATCAACATCCAATCATGTTATACCTTGACACTGTGTGGACGTTACCACCAGTGGTGTAGTCCTAACAAAAAGGCGGCGTACTATTACCCACCCAACCCAAATATATATGTATAAATAAATATGGAAGATGTTTTCAACACATTTCTAAACATAATAGTTTCAATAACTCATTTCTAATAACTGATTTATTTTATTTTTGCCATGATAACAGTAAATAATATTTTACAACATGTTTTTCAAGACACTTCATACAGCTTAAAGTGACATTTAAAGGCTTAACTAGGTTAATTACGTTAACTAGTCAGGCTAGAGTAATTAGGCAAGTTATTGTATATTGATGGTTTGTTCTGTAGACAGTCAAAAAAATAATTAGCTTAAAGGGGTTGATAATTTTTTGTCCTTAAAATGATGTTTAAAAAACTTAAAACTGCTTTTATTCTAGCCAAAATAAAACAAATAAGACTTTCTCCAAAAGAAAAAATATTATCAGACATACTGTGAAAATTTCCTTACTCTTTTCAACATCATTTGTGAAATATTTTAAAAAAAGAAGAAAAAATTCAAAGGGGGGCTAATAATTCTGACTTCAATATATATATATATATATATATATATATATATATATATATATATATATATATATATATATATATATAGTCCATCCGGAAAGTATTCATAACACATATATATATAATTTTTTTTTCTTTCTTTCTTTTTTTGTTACAGCCTTATTCCAAAATTGATTAAATTAATTTATTGCTTTAAAACTCTATACACACACAATACCTCATAATAAGTTTTTTTTTAGTTTCAACTTTATAAAAATGTAGAAAACAAAAGCAAAGCACACGTTTTTAAGAACCCAAATACTAGCCTATACTCAAGTAAATTTTTTACATGTATTAAATTAAACTGCCACTTTTAAATTCAGAATGGCATAAATATAAACATATTAAAAACTTACCGGCTAATTTACAAATTTGACTATTGTGATATAAGTCAATACGATACAACAAATGTTGTTTCACACTGATGTCATTCAGATATGCCGTTAAAATGAGTACATTCATTGAGTGGTTCTGTCACTGTGTTTAATCCTGTGCATGAATCTATGGTATAGTTAATGCACATGCACTGTGTTTTATTCCCATTGTTAATTGTGAAATAAACAGAAAATTGTCTGTGAGGAGTTACATTTTCACTGAAAGGAAACAGCTTTGAGGATGACGTGAGCTTCGAGGAT